CCTTCCTGCTATCTTTCCAAACATGAATTAAGTCCAGACTTCCTGGAAGAAATATTTTTCCCTCTGATCAGAGTTCAATCCCTGGTTCTGCCAAAAACAAACAAACAAACAAACAAACGAAGAAACCCTGGTTTTTATATCATCATTAGCACTCTATCATTGACTATTAGCAAAATACTCCACTGATAATTTACAACCAGAGAAAGTTTTTAACTACACAGCTAATGTTCATTTTTCTAGCAGGTATTCCCATTTTGTCCTAGATCCTAGGAGTACTGACTACAGCACAGAATGAGTAAGCATGGTCAGCACCTGCCAGGGGCTCACAGTCTCCGGGTAGATTGGTTCACCATCCAAAGTGGGTGTGTGAGATGGTCATTAATAGTGCCTACCATGCCTCCGAGTGGCTGGAAGGTAGTGCCTATTGCTGACACCCTTGGCCTGATCACATGCAGTCATCTAACTGGAGAATCCTCAGGACAGTTGAGGTTTATGTATCTAAGTAATGTAAGATTTAAAATTGCCAAATCCCTTGAGAGGTGCTTAGCTTTGTAACTCTGGGCCAGGTCTCCATTTCTAAGCAGAGATTCTCTACTTGGTGGCTCCGGGGAGTTTCCAAAAGTATGCCCTGGAGCCAGGAGTCCTTTTGTCCTCTGCTCTTACAGACTCCTGAGGCTGTGAAGCAGAGGGACTGTGAGTTTACCCAGAGGCCTCACTCAGATATCGTGTGCTGCCTCATCTTGCCTGTCACACCCTCAGATTTGTTTCAGGCCTCTCCAGGTTTTCACCAGTTTTCCTGATTTGAAACCTGTAAAAATACCAGCTTTGTGCAGTGGTAGTATTGTAGCCAGTGAGGTTTATCTGAGGCACGATTATTGCTAAACCTGTAAAATTGTTCATTCAGGTTGTCGGCATGGCCTCATGACCTACTTATTTCACTTATAATCTCCCGCCATCCAGTTACATTTCTGAATGATTTTGCCAGTGATCCTTCAGAAAACATATGATGGAGCTGACCAATTTCTGCTTACTGTTCCCTGGTGCCTGCCATCACCTATGGCATGAAACTCAAAACTGCTTAGCCTAGCGTCATCCCTCAGGAGCAGTCTTTGCCTACACGCTTTCCCACCAATGTTGCTTTCTCCACCTTTAGTCTGACAGGTTGAAATGATGGGAATACACTGCATGCTTTTTCTGCCTCTGCCTAGGGTACACTGGCCAGCTACCCAGAATGTTTTCTCATTTTTGTCTGCTTGTCAAACTCCTACTCAACTTATAAAGCTCAGTGCAGATGGAATGCAAATTTGGGATACCTTATGTGACCTTTCCATTCAGGCTTATGATTCCTTTTTGTTCCCAAATGCTGCGCTTGAGATATAGTCTTACCTGTTACCTGACTGTCTCCTTCAGCAGCCCCATCAAGCCCGGGCACAATATCATGTTCAACTCTTTTTTTCACATCTGTACAGTTCATAGTGCATAACATATTTTAGAAATGAATAGTTTAGCTATAGTATGGCAGGGGGTATAGCTCGTTGGCACACCACCTGCCTGGCAAGCACAAAGTCATGAGTTTAATTGCTGGTACCAAAAAAAAGTCTTTGATATTCCTTCCCAGGAAGTTAAGGGATCTTTGTATTTAAATCCCTTCTAAAGATGTGTACAAGCACCTTTTATGGCCACAAAGGTAGTCGTAGATGTGAGGAAGATGAATGATTAACATTTTGCCTTCTTATGGGTATGTAGAATTTTAGGGTGGTTGTAGTATAAGCCGCAAGGCATTAGAGTACCTCTGTTTTGCTTGCTAGAGTTAGGGGTAGCTTCTTGTGTACTTTGCCAGGAGGAAATTACTAACAATTTAGTCTTTGGTGTGCAACCTCTTCCATGAAGCCTTCTACCTGCCCAGAGCCAGCCATCGCCTTCATTCTCAAATTGTAGTCATTCTTTTTTCTTGGGTGTTTTGAGACAATGTTTCTCTCATGATGTAGTTCAGACAGGTCTCTAACTCTCAGATCTCCTGCCTCAGTCCCAAGTTTGCTACCATGCCCAGCTGTCCCTTTTCATCTTGAGAGAGATAATTTTGTTCACAGTAGTGGAATTGATTTCCAAACTACAGTTTGCAGTAATAAAACATGACATTTATTTTGGAATAGTGAAATTATATCACTAAAATTAATTTTTAGTGAAAACATAAGCTAGGATAAAAAATCACTGAATAATTAGATATTATTTAAACTTTCTAATTTGGGGCTGGGGAGATAGCTGAGTAGAATAAATGCTTGCCTGGCAAGTGCAAGGGCCTGAGTTCAATCCCAGGTTCCACAAAACAAAACAAAACAAAACAAAACAAAACAAAACAAAAAACAAAACAAAACACACCTTTCTAATTTGTATAACTGTTCTTTCTAACTCCTCTTAGCTATAAGTATCAATATTTTCTGGTCTTTTCCCAGTTCTCTCATATTTGCAGTGGGCCTTTGATATGTGGAGCATGTGCAGTTCTTCTGACTCTCAAGTGTTCCCACTTATTGCTCCAAGTGGGGGCAGTCAGCAGATGATGGGAGTGATCAGAATAGTGCCAATGGATGATTTCTCTGTTGTGAGCCTTTTCTGGAGACGTTTTTATCCTGATCTGCTCATTACTTTATCTTATCTGAAAATTATACCTCTTAACATTCTGAGCGGATAGCACGTTTTGAACTTTTTTTTTTTTTTTTTTGGCAGAACCAGGGATTGAACTCAGGCCCTTGCACTTGCCAGGGAAGCACTTATTCTACTGAGCCATCTCCTCAGCCCCTTGACCTTTTGTTGACAGTGGGCACATGACCAAGTCATTTTTTAAATTGTCACTAATATTTTCAGAGTCTTTAAATTATGTTATGATTTTTAACTTGAGAAAAGGGCACCCTATTGTGTTTGAGGATGAGAAGAGAAAACAAATCCCTGTATAATCAAACACTTACTGCTGCTCCTTTCTCCTCCCCTCTTCATTTCCGCTGCCCCACCCCTTCAATAGATTTTCATTTCAAATTAGTACAGTCCCATTCTGTTTTTCCATTAATTGTAAGATGTGATCACTTTGACTCAGTGGTCTTTTTTTTTTTTTTAGGAAGCCCAAAGAGAATCTGTAGAGTTAATTAGTGATGATTTTAATTTGTCCATGCTGATGAGGTTGAGTGTGGAAAGCACCCTGTCTTTTAAAGTCTAGGGCATTTAACATTAGTCAGCAACGGAATTGGCTTGGTATTTTGTTTTGCTTTTTTAAGACAGGGTCTCACTATGTAGTTCAGCCTGCCTTGAACTCACTATGTAGCCCAGAGTGGTGTTGAAATTGTGGCCATCCTCCTATTTCAGCCTTCCAAGTGCAGGGATTATAGGCATTTGCTCCTATACCCTGCTGGCCTCATTTATTTTAAATATTCTGCAGTAAGGTTTAACATATCATTGTAGGAATTGATTTTGAATAGTTGTCTTGATTTTTTCTTTTAATGTAGCAAGGCTATGTTTTTAAAGTGAATCTGTGCTTGGAGATCAGCTACACTCCTCAAGTTGTGAGCCTGTGCTCAGTGGCTGTCAGCCACACAGTCTTGACTGCTGAGCCTAAGCCATTGCCTAAGGCTACTCAAAGGGGTGTCAGAGGGGGGAGAATGAAAATAATGCAATAAAGTAGACCCCCTTCTGTTGGAGAAATGAGAGCTGCTGTGTAGACTTACTGGTTAGCACAGTCAATAAGTTACTGTAATAGTGAAAGATTATCCTCTAAAGTTCACATTTCAAAGGCTTTTTCTAAATTCTTGATATTTTTGCCATTATTTAATAAAAAGTGTTTATGTGTAAGAGAGAGAATGATTATGTCTCTGTAGCTGCCAACCCTTGTATCAAGACATGCCTGCACCCATCTCTGTATTTAACCAGTTGGGCCATTGGAAGATTACTGATTTTTTTTTCTTTCACTCAATGCTAAGAAGTAATGGCAATTGCATGTTCTCTGTGAATTTTGTAGAGAAAAATCACACAGTGAGCTGCTGAGAAGTACTTGGAAGGTTAATAGGCCTTGAGAGCTTTGCTGGTGTGGACTGTGGTGCTTTATTTCTAGTCAGAGGTGATTTCATGTTTTTTGCACTTGGCCATCATTTAAGAGGCTCCAGGGTTTTTTCCCTTTTTTTTCATTGTTTTATTTTCTTGTGATGCTGTGGATGGAACATAAGGCCTTGTGCATGGTAGGCAAGCTGTCACCATGCTGTACCCTTACATCTGGTCTACTTTAATTTTACTAAATGGGCCTTTACTTTTGGGCACGTAGGTATATTTTCCATATGTCAGCTGTAAGAACAATGAGACAGAACAAATGAGCTTTGCAGACATTTTATTCTGAAATTTTCAACAGGAATATTAAAGGCAGGTTAGCCTTAGCAAAGTGTATTGACCTTTTTTGTTTAAATAATTAGAATGTCACATAAGCTGACAACATACTCTTTATTTTAAATCTTATATACCCATGGTGATTTTAGTTTTGTACAGAGTACAGCATGTTAAAGCATGGTACACAACTTTAATTTTTAAAAGACCCTTAAAATGGGTAGTGTTCTGAGGATCACCGTTAAATGTGAAACTTGTGGCCATTGAACAGAAGTGCTATCGAAGTCATTCTGTCTCCTGTGGATATTTGATGAATCTATTCTGGCAGGAGTGTTTTTCTATAATCAGTTAGTACTTTAAGTACTTTAAGATTTTCTTTTTCCCCTGTTCAGTTTTGGGCTTGTTTAGTGTTTACTACCTGTGTCATTCTTTTTTTTTTTTTTTTTTTTTGCATTACCACTCTTTTGTGTCTCGTGAATGAGTTTGAATATTGCAATTCATCTTTTTACTTTTAAGAAGCTACATACTTTCCATATTAAACCATAGTGCCAGAAGATCTTATATGAAACTTTACTTACATGACTTCTGGGTGCCATCACTAAAAGAAATTGTTGCTAATGTCAGTTTTTAAATTTTAACAGCCTCAAGTACTACAGCCTTCCAGCAGCCTTCCCAGACCCACAGACCACGCCCAGGGAAAATTAACAAAGCCACCACACACCGAGGCCCACAGTGAGTGCACGGTCCAGGGCCTGTGTCAGGACAGTGCACATCCAGATGGAAGTTGTTCACGCAGCTCGCAACAGGAAAACAGCAGTGGTTTGGAAGACCGGCCTTTCCCCTCCAGCCCACAGTTGAAAGTGGATGCAGCTAGGTGTACACCTTGTGAAGTGAACTTGAACATGACCACGAATGTTCCAGAGCCTTCCAACTTGGAAAAGAATCAAAGCAGTGACACACAGTTTGTACCTTCTCTTCAGACACCTGCCCAGTCAAGCACAGAGGACCAAGCTACAGGGATTGGAAGCGATCATTCTCTGCAGATGGGCTACCCATCCCAGCCCAAGTCCTTGCAGCTTTTAAAACCATCTACCTTGAGTTCTTTGGCACCTCCTCCAGACTCCAAATCAGCTCCAAGTAAAACTCCCACTTCTAAGAAGTCACTGATAGTCACTCCATATAACTCACCAAAACTTCAGCCAGCATCTGGTCAAGGAAGCCTGACAAATATGAATTTGAAAGCATCTAAGCTCCGCCCTCCTTCCACCTTTTTCAAACAAAAACAAGTAGGCAACGCTGGTCCTGGACCAGAGCCTCAAAACTTCCAGGCCAAGACAAGCATCCCAAGGCCACTAGTACGACAAAAAGAAATCATGCAGAATCCAAGTGGCAATTTCCATTCTGGGGATTGTTTGGCCTCTAATCGATATTCTCGTCTTCCTAAACCAAAGATACATTAAGTACATAGCCACCACCTGCCAATTTGTTTTTCTTTAAAAATCCGTTCTGTAATAGCTTTGTGTGCAGTTTGCTACTGTGTTGGAGGTCCTATTGAAAGCCTGCAAATCTCAAAATTAAAATGTGGAAGTTTCCACTAGTTTGACTCTTCCATTTATGTCCTGGTTGAAGTACCTACCATGGGAGCATACTTGTCTCAGGTAAACACAAAAGTTTGCTTATCCATCCCAGAGGCCTTCACGTCTCTAATCATGCTATCCATTGCCCTGGACATCATGGAAGTTGGAATATTCCATGAGCAGGCGAGAAGTGTGCTTTGCTGATTTAGTCCTCTTGTGTGATCTGTGTTACTGTGCTTAGCGGAGCCCGCCCCTTTTACATGTTCCCCTGGGAATGTGGCTGCCATGTAACTAACAATGTGGTAATAGCAGAAGATGGTCATCTGTAAGCAGAGCTCTGGCCAGTGTTTTGTATACTTAAAAGGTCTATGCAAAAGCTTTGTGATGAATAAAGGAGAACAGGCTTTTAATGGGAAGTCTATGTATGTTTTATTTTTCCTTACTGGGATCAGCAAATAATACTAGCTTATTAATTTACAGATGGATTTCCCAGGCTGAAAATGTTCAATATTGTATATAAACCAGTTATACTTTGCTTTAACACCTTGTTTCTCGTAACACATTACCATTGTGCTTGTATTGGTACTGGGTAGATGTGGAGAGCTTGTGATACACCTTGAAACCCATTCCTAATGGTGTATCTGTTTGTAATATGTGTTGGTGCTAGAATTTTGTTGGCAGTTCAGTTTCAAACCCTGTAGACTGACCCGTCATAGCTGGTTTAAGGTTCCACAGCATATATTTTAAATTAAGTCTTTATTGTAATATTTATATTTATTGACTCTGCTAATATCCGAAGACTGGAACAATGGACTTGAAATATTTGCACAAAGCTCTGCTGGGATATAAGTATCCCACACATAGGGATTTAAAGCTTATTTTCTATAGCAAAATAAGTTAAAATATTTTGAAAAGAATTAAAATTTAAGACTCTCTTGAGAAAGAATTCATAGTAGTTTTGTTTTATTTAGTTTCCTAGGTTTCTTTTTTCACTTGACGATTATTTGAATGACAGTTCCTTGAAAAGTAGATATGAGAAGGAAAATAGGACTGTACATGGGAAACTGTGTTTCATTAAGAGATATTTCAAAAGATACATGGGAAACTGTGTTTCATTAAGAGATATTTCAAAAGAAATACGCTTATTTATTTTAATGTGCCACCCAAGGTAGTCGTGGAACCTCCAAGTGATCATGTGTATGAACCCAGTTGTGCTTTGGACCACTTGTCGGACAGTTGAGTACATTTGCCTTCTCAGAGAACACACTGACATCATGTCATCTTTAGGCTGATCTAAATCTGAATCTGAATTTTGAATAATATTTATAGATAAAATACCTTAGATCAGTTTATGTTTCAATTCATGTTTTGATCAGTTACCAAAAATATATCAAAAGGAATTATGGCCAAAAGAATCACTTGGATTTCTAAGGATTCCTTTAAGAAATGCACATTACTGAAATTGTCTGCTGTCTTTTAAGAGAAAAATAGCAAGTGCTTGAGTGGAATTCCCAAAGTGGTGTTTGCTCCATTCTGATTCAGACTTCACCCCTGGGAGCCGTGTCCCTGGAGTTGCCACAAACTTTTTCTTAGACTTGGTACTAGGTGAGCAGCGCGGATCCAGTATTTGTGTGATAATACCAGTAGAGCCTTTCACACAACTATAACCACTCACACCACAACATTGATCTCAGTATTTAGGATTTCCTGTGTTAATGTTAGAGACCCCTTTGCCTAGTCAGATACTGTTAGTGGGGAGTCACCACACTCATCAGCAGGGCTCTGCTTTGTTCCTGGAGCTGAGCCTAGAAGGCTACAACTGTGAAGGAGAGCATGTGTGGTCTTTTGTTTTGAAGGGGAGAGAAAACTGATTTCATGCACTGCAAATAGGATGCTGTCTTCTGTAAAGTAAAACACAATAAGGAATGACATAGTAGGCATCTGGTTTGTTTAGAAGTTTGGTATAGACCCTTCTAAAAATTATTTACAAGTTGGCCTTATCCTTAGGGAAAACTGTTTATGTTTTTTTTAAACCCCCAGTCTAGAGGAAATGTCTTTATTGACTGTAACATAAAAGCATTGTCTCCAGTAATGTATTCCTTTGTGCTATTTTTATTCTCTGATGAATTTGAAGAGGTGTTCACTCATGGGTGGCTCAGCTTCTCTGTACCTTTGTTAAGCATTCCACTTAGCAGAAGAGAGAGCCATCAATATAATTACAAAGCATATTTAAGAGAAAAAATATCTAGAATGCTTATACAAATAAAGTATTTTCCTGCAGGTTTTTAAAAAAGCTGCAGTGTCATGCTGGTAGCTTAGTAAATGTTAAGTCAGATATTGCCATGAACATACTGCTGAATTACCAGAGCTCAGCTTGCTCTGTTCACTGCTTCTGCAGATCAGCTCTGTGCCCAGCCCTCCTCCTACAGAAGCTTAGATCACTCATTCTCTTAGTTATTGTGGTACCAGTAAAGACACTGGAAATGTACAAATTCAAAGTCCTGAGGAAGTTATATGGGGGTTGGTTAAGTTTCACATTTATGAAAGAGAAAATTAAGCATATGCAGAATCACATATTTGGTTATTAATAGGACACATAATTTTTTTTAAGGAAAGCTTGGCCTAATGAGTTTCTAAGTATAGGTAAGGACTATTTTAAGGCATTAAACAAAGAATTACAGAGTTACATCATTTAAATTTTTTCTAATAACTGAGACTACCTAGAATTTTGCTTTTGGAGTCTCATTTTCATTTGTGCAATATTTCCAGGCATCTAAGACTACTATTTGTTGTATTTATACAGATATTAGGATACTTACTAAGTATTTTAACAAGTAAAAATCTGAATATGAGAGAATATATCAGATTTGCACTTTAAATGAGCTTAACTGCTTGGAGTTGTGCCTGAAATATCAAAATGCCTCCTCTTGCGTGTGGCTTTGTTTAGTGAAATGAATTTCTCTGTAATTGTTGCTGTTTGATACTATCAGTAGAGCCTCTCACAGAACTATAACCATAGCATGTCTTTTTCCATTAAAGCACTAAGTTTTTCTTACATGTTCCATTGTCTTTCAAAGTCATTTTCTCATGTTATTCAGTGCATCAAAGAGACCGTGACCCCCTGGGTAGTTGCTTCTCCTCCTTGCTCCTGTGGTCAGAATGGCTTTCCAGATGTAGGTAGAGGTGCACTCTGCTCTTGCTGTGGGCTCTGGGCCAGAGCGCTGGGCTTGCACCGCAGACGCCACAGGCTCGCTCCTAGGAGAAGACCAGAGCACCAGCTCCGGGTACTCCACCTTTGACAGTAGAGTCGTGTTGCTGAGTTACTTTGGGTGGCTCTGTTTGCATGCTTAGGCACACATTAGAAAATTAATTATAACTGTAATACAAATACCGTATGTTTTTCCTTGGGGATGATGGCCTTGCTATTTTTCTTAAATCTGATGCTTGAATTCTGTTCTCTCAGTGTTTTTACATGTCCCTTTTTGAGTTTTCTGCTGCCGCAACTTGAGAGAGTAAATTTGTATAAATGATTATGATGGTGGGTGCCAATGTGCAATTATGTTATTAATTAAAAATATATCTCTTAACCTTGTTGGGGAAAAGTTACCCACTTTCTCCTTGCTAAAGCCTTGCTATAGCAAAATAATACTGACCCTGAGAACTTAAAGTCTCCTAAATCATGACTAAAAGCAAAAATAATATCCACAGTATTGTTTTTCACATTGATTTCAAAAGCTGATTCAGAGTACATACTGTATATTAGAACTTGCCTGTAAAGTGAATTATAAAGATGGATGTAAAGTCTCTTTCATGAAAATCTTGGCATAGTAGATAAAAATAAAATTCATAATTACAAAATGTTCTTGGTCTTTGACTATGAGTTCTATGGTTTACATGTTTTTGGATAGTTGTTTTCTCCACAAAGATAAAAGATACTGTTCATTTGATAAATGGCTTTCCCAACTCTGACACTTTATCTTTTTACATATGCTCTCTCCACACATTGGGGATCACAGAGGGGCTTATTTCCAAGACCAGTCCTCAGCAGATATGCTTTTGAGTTAGGATAGTAAATTACAACTAAACAAAAATTACATCATTAACATATAAGGATGCATTCCCAGTCTGAGGCCTTATTTCAGAATCCTTCTTGAGATTTTGGGGGCAGGGGTTAAGCTTGCATAACAAGTGATAGCTGAGGTTTTGCACTTAAAGGTAGGTCAAGGCAAGTGTGAATTGTGTGAGGAAAGTAATAAGGTCTGTGATGAGTTATTAATACTGTATTAAATTGTGTTACTCACTAGAGGTGAGATGAAAATGCTCAGGCACTCCAAGCTCCTGGCTTCCTCAGGCAGGGTCAGAGATGGAATTCTGGACAGCTCCAGGGAAGCGCTCAGGAAAGGGCTTGGGCACCCTGAGAACTGTCAACTCTAACGGGAGCTTGGGCAAAGGTCAGTGGAAAAGAGTACACTGACCTCCCTACCCTCCAGGGCATCTTAGGAATTTAAGGAGGAAGCAGAGGAAACCAGGGACTGGTAGTCACTTGTAAATATTGCAAGAAGCATTAAGTTCCAGTGTAGAACAAACAACTAGAATCAAGAAAAAGTGAAAAATTGCTGACCAGCTAGTCAGAGACAAAATTGAATTGAGAATATACATGCTGCATATATTCCTTTATATGCAAAGAATTGCTTTAAAGTGGAAAATTAGAAACACCCAAATACCTGACAGGAGAATGGTTAAATTATGACAAACTCTTCTTTAGTCTGTTAATCCTCTAATATTTCAGAATTCCACTATTTAAAACCTAATGGGACAAAAAGTCATGAGCTCAGTACAGTTTCAATATGTATATGTTTATGAATATAAAAACATACTAATGATGGTGGAATTCTAGGTGGTTTTACTTTTTTATCTTGATGTGCTTTTTTTATGGTGAGAATATATTCTTACAGAGAAAAGTTTGTGTGTTTTTAAGACTAGGACCATTTCTATTGCTAGGCAGCCTTTGTGGAGCATGTGCACTTAGGCGCTCAGTAATTTAGTTCTCTGGGGGGGTCTCTATTCATCATGTCCTCTGTCTTCCCATAGAATGAGGATTCAGCAAATTTCAGGCCACTTTTGCAAAGACGCAGCATTAAGTGGAATAGCAATTACTTCACTTCCAAACTAGCCTGACTGCATCTTTTTTAGTCCTTGCTTCCTTGTATAATTGGTTGGGATTGTTACCGCTTGCTCCATGTCTCTCCCAAGTCAGTCAGCTATTACTGACAAAATTTGTCTTTCCCAAACCTGAGTAGTCTGTTCCCTTAGGGTGTACCAGCTAGGCCTGGCACGTGAGCCCAAGCAGCCCTTCTCCATGTTTTCTTACTGGTTTTGTCTACTTTCTTCCAAACAGAAAAGCCACAATGAAGTCTTTACATTGCCATTAATGTAATCTTCCCCTTCATGTGGAACACACGTAGTCCGTCCTTCTTGCTCCTTTCTGATGTGGGTCTGGAAGTCCTCTTTCATGAGTGTCTTCAGGTATGCTGTCATGGCTGCCTCAGTGTCCTCAACTAATTGAAAATGTTTAGTTGCTTGGTCAGTGTGACACCGGAGAAGGGCCAGAAGTCGCATTCTCACATTGAGCAGTCCTTCCTGGGCCCCACTGCTGGCATGGGCCTGGATTAACTGCACCTCTGTGCCTAGGGTGAAGGAATACACGATGCCACTGGGTAGAGTTCTAAAGATGTGGAACAGTGCTAGATACCCAAACAGGCCAGAGGGATTTGCTCACCCTGCCTTAGACTGCAGGTTATAAGAGTCCTGAGTTCCAGCCCCCTTCAGCTGCTGCCCTGATGCATATCTGCTATCTGGTGTTGAGACCCACTCCTCTAAATTATTCCATTTATCTGGATTTGCTTCATGCTAAGCTAATTGTACTCTGGTTTGGGGTGAGGGTATGCACAGCCAAGGTCTGGGAGTCCAGCCCTCAGCTGCCAAAGCTGGGTTGGAGCTTCCTCCTCCAGAGGGCAGACATTGAGACTGCAGACCAAAAGATACACAGGAGCTGGGAAGGAAGCCCCAGGGAGACAACCTTGTTACAATCCAAGCAGCAACTGACTTATTTTGTACAGAGACAGGAAATTCTTCCCGTGGCAACTATTTTTTTCCTGTTAGCAGTATTTACTTTTCTGCAATCACTGGCAGGTGGTCACACCTCACTTCTACTTTTCAAATAGTTCTAAGTGCAGATGAAGTTCTGTGATTATTTTCCTTTGCCTGAGAAAAGGAGAGTTTGTCCTTTTCTAAATAAGCCCCTTGTACGTAACCATTTAGTTTTTTTGTGACTTAGCCCTTGGAAATCAAAAGTGATGAGTCCCAGGTGTGAAGGGGGAAATTTGCAGGGGGTGTAGGGTGTGCATGGAGTCCAGTTTGCAGCTGGCCCAGGGGAAGAGTCCTGGGCTAAGATAGGAGTAGGCCAGCCCACAGGGAGCAGCACCCTCTGCCTCTCCCCGAGGCAGGGACACCTTCAGCCCCTTTAATCCATGCTACCTAGGTTTCCTCCAGTACTGTTTTGCACAGATGAGGCATTTTCAAACACAGCGTCCCGGCCTATAGGTGCACAGCCCTCTCCTGATTCCCCACTCAGCCATAAGGAGATAAATTGTCCTCAGGTAGGTTGGGTTTCCAAAGCAGCATGATCCCATTTTTTTTTTTTCTGTAGCTACTGTAAAGCCACTGCAAGTTAGCCATATCTGTGAGGTAAACAACCACAGACTGAAAATATTCAGGGAGAAAATTGTGTCTGTTCTGAATACGTGCAGAACTTTTCCTGTCATTATTCCCTGGAGCAGAGCACTGGTGCCCTACATTTATGTCTGGTGTACTTTCCATCATCCAGGGATGACTCCAAGGGCCCAGGAGGAAGCCTGTAGATTCTACGCAAATACCATGTTATCTAAGGGACCTGGGCAAATGCCAACTGCAGTATCCGCAGGAGACCTGGAACTCCCCCCCCCACACACACACAGATACAGACCAGCAATTCCACTTCATTGAGGCATACTTTACATATAGCATTTGCTGTCCCATGTGTGTAATTCAAAGGTCTTTAAAAAAGTTTTCCAGGTGGCAACTGTCAGCATAAGTCAGCTTTAGGGCACAGTATTTCCATCAGCCCAGGGAGGGTCAGCCATGTGCTCCTTTACTGCCAGTGTCTGCTCTTCCAGCTGCCATAGCCGTGAGTCTTTGCCTTGCCTAGGCTGTTCATATGAA